AGAGAGAGAGAGAGAGAGAGAGAGAGAGAGAGAGAAGTAAGGAGGCACATTGTATTATGCATAAAGTGACTCTTTATGTTGCATGTTTCTCACTGAAACTGTATCGGACTATTCAGACACCAGTTAACGCAAATCTTTTTTTGTGATATAGCATATCTTGGTGAGATATATTTCTCTCAACACCTATGAGGTCGAACTCGTCTTCAACTACATCACGAATATACATTTTCTATTAGTTAATTAAGAATCTATAGCGATGAAGTCCTACTTTAAGTTCTTAGACATCCTGGCGTGCTGGTTTATAACTAAAGGATTGGTGCTTCCTTCAGTTACAGAAATCTGTTGAATAAGGGGTTTCTCTTTTCCATGACATCCTTTTTGTTTTGTGGATTCTTATTAAAAGTGACTGCTACTGAATAATTATGACCCCTCTCGGCTCTGTGATTTATGTATGAACTCTTTATGTTCTCAATTGATTCTCATGTAAATTCTGCTACATTTCTTTCTTTTGAAGCTTCCAATTCCTTGATAGAAAGGGGATCTTCTCCATTTAACATAAGTCATTTATCGTTGCGTTTGCACTTTCTTTCTTTAGCTGCATACTCCAGAGACACGGGATAAAAGTATATCAGTATTCATGCCCTGTTCAACTGCTCCTTTGATTTTATTTTAAATCCTATATTCGTTGAGCAACACTTTTTATGTTTACTTTGGATATTGTGTGCTTCTTATTTCCTTGACATGATGATGGAATTTGTACTTGCAGGAAAAGATCATGAGAGTGCCCTATGGCCCAAATAAAGACTATTTTATATACTCATTATTTCTTGTCTTTTGCAATCGGATTACCACATCTGCAGTCTCTGCTGGAGTTTTACTGGTAATAGAACACTTCCAGGCTATAAGGTCAAAAGACTTATTCATCTAATACTGCAACTATACCCTAACATGATTCTAATCACTTGACTTCTGAGAGCCTCTTGACGAGGCAGAGAACGAAGTCTTCAGTATTGGATGTGATTCTTAGGAATTTTGCCACACACTACACTAAGCATTTACCTCCAGTTCTTCTCTGATTTGCAGGCAAGTAAGAAGGCATTGGACCCAGTAGCTCCAATCCATAAGTATTGTATTGTTTCCATGTCTAACATCCTCACAACAACTTGTCAGTACGAGGCAAGTTTTATCTTCTTCCTTATGATTACATGAAGTAATAGACAAAGGAGAACAAAGATAGTAAGCCTTAACAAAGAAGATTGAAAAACAAACACAAATAAGATTGGAACAAAAAGGTTGTTGAAATTTTGGTAGTTGTCAAGTTACAACTAACAAATACTGACAGTTTTAATTAATTCTTGCACAGGCTCTCAAATATGTCAGCTTTCCAGTTCAAACTCTGGCAAAATGTGCCAAAATGATACCTGTAATGGTAAGTTAACTTGCTGTAGACTGTTGTAATTGCTGGAAAAGGAAGCACATAGAATTCCTCTGGGTGAGACTGATGTAGAATATTTCTATTCAGTTTCTATAACATTTTTTGTTCGAGTGTTGGCATTGCTGTTTCGAGGCTTCTAGCTATGATGTTTTGTTCCTCAAATTCATCACGTCCGTGATAATTATATCCGTCTACTTTGAATTCTTCACATTTCGAATAATTTTTCCTCGAAATTTGTCCATCCTTATAAAAATATAACTGGTAGAAGCACTAAAACTAAGGGTCGGTTGATTGGGGAACATGTTTTATCTAGTGATTATAAATGACGGGATTATAATACATGGATTAAATAATGAGGGTATTATTTAGTGAACTTCACTTTTAGTAGATGTTTTGTTCATTGGACTAAAAATGAGATATACAGGGTATAATACAAAACTTGTGTTTGGTTTAAACTAGATAAATTGGGATAAACTTTTTTCCCAATTTTAACCTTGTCTTTCTTAAATGTTTTTGGAGAAGGGCAAATGTGTCATTTTTTTAATCCTAGGATTATTAATCTCGAGATTGTTATCCCATATAGAGTGTGGTATGAATAATCCCGGGATTGCAATATCCGGAATCAGAAATGGTACCAAACATGGGATACAATAGTCCTATATTTTTTCCGAGATTATAATCCCTTATCGCTCCAACCAAATGACCCCTAAAGTTATAAGGTATTTTCTAGGTTTTCTTTTGGTTATTTTGGCACATAGTATATCAATAAAGAAACACCTCATTCGCTGAAGCTGCTAAAAGTAACCTATTTTTCTGTATAATTTAGCCTTTTTTCATCTTGTAGTTTTATATTGTCTCTCCTACAATGTTCTGTTTATACAAATTACACTATTGAGTTATGCTTCCCATTTTATTTTTCCTTTTCTGTTCATGCAGATCTGGGGCACTATCATCATGCAAAAGAAGTACAAAGGACAGGACTATTTCTTTGCATTCATAGTCACACTTGGCTGTTCATTATTTATTCTGTATCCGGTAATAACTAATGTCCTCTTTTCATTTACGTCTTGTGTTCTCCAAATTGCCATTAAACCAAATTATAACAAGAATTGTTTTCACAATGTATTTTCGTGTATCTTTCAAAAATCATGTGCTTTTGTTAACCACTTAACCTTTTGTAGTAGCCATGATTCATCAGGAAAGGAAGTTATCTAGAAAGACCTACAATCTCAGGAATCCCTATAGATTTAGGGGAGGATAGAATACGCAAGATCCATATAGGCGATACCAACTATTTGGATCAAGACTTAATCATGAAAGCAAGCTTACAATAGGTTCAATTTTTGCTTGGAGTCCTTTTAATCTTGTTAGACATTCATATGTCAGCAGAAAATATAAAGAACCGCTAATACAAGACCAATCTAAATCATTAAATATTGGAGAAATGGTTTCAGATGGAGCAAAACGGATAGTGAGATTGTTATGAGTTATGGCCAATCCTAACTAGCTTGGGATTGAGGCTTAATAGTTATTGTACTGNCTGACCTGAAACACGAGAATGAATATTTTACTGATTCCGTATCTTTGGATTTAACTAGAATTGCGTGACGCTAATGTTGTTTACCTGTGAGGACTGTCTTTTGAAGTCAGTTATTTACAGAATTTACTAGCACTAAACAGGATTATGTACTTCTGATTTTCCAATCTAATACCGGCTTACTAACAAAATTATTGTTTCTGCTACTTGTACTTGTGTTTGGGTTGTCTAGTAAAAGTTTTTTACAGTTTGTTTTTGGTTCTAGGCAGAAGGTGATATTAGCCCTTACAGTAGAGGAAGGGAAAGCACCATTTGGGGAGTTTCTCTTATGATGGGTTATCTTGGGTATGAGTTGACATTATCCAATATTTTAAACCTTTGGTTGTTATATTAATGAAATGTTAAGTTAAACAGCTGGATTTGCTTAAAGTTGACACTTTCTTGAGAATGTGTTCTAGAGATCTAAAAAACTAATTTTCAAGCTTTCTATACTGTACCTTGTACTTTAACGATGTTGTTTAGCATTAAATGTTTCTATAATATTCTCTCTTTTCCAGTTTTCCTTCCTTGATATACTGTCTTTCACCTTATTCTGTAAGATTTATTGTTAGATATCGAACTCCGAATGCTCTATGATTGGAAACTGCTATCGATCCAAAGTTGGAAGAAGATCACAATGTGCTTTGTACTAACCTTTTGAATGATTAACATGTTATATGTAGAACTCATATTTTGTTAGCTTTACGGTGTACAAAATCTATGTTACTTGGCATATTTACCAGATTCTCAAATTTTAATCCATCTGTTTTGCTCTCCCAATAAATTCTTACAATTCCGTTTGCCTGATGCTATTGCTCAACTAGCTCTTTTAATTGGTTCATAGCTATACTAAGATAATACCTGAGTCAAAGGAAAGATATCAAAAAACTTCACCACCACTAGCAGATACAAAATTTTAACCTAAGAAGCAAATATGCCCGTATCTGATTTTCTCTTTCATTTGTTTTTGTTTATATGACCACTTTGTTCTAAGAGAACATGTGCTTACCAGGGAGAATTTGAGTATTAGCTCCTGTAACATTCACACGGATATGTTGTTGCGTCTTTTTTGCCCCTTGAGATCTCCACCTGTTTAGATGAGTAAAAGGAGCAATGTGGTTATCACCTATTAAAATTGAATATTAATTTGCTAGCCTCTGAAACAAGGCTTTAATAAGCATTTGATCTCACAGGTTTGATGGATTTACGAGCACGTTCCAGGATAAACTTTTTAAAGGCTATGACATGGGAATACACACTCAGATATTCTACACAACTGTCTGTTCTTGTCTTCTTAGTTTCACTGGTAAGATCTACTTTATTGCAGTTGGGAAACAGGTCTCTGTTTGAGTAAATATTAAGGAATTCAATCTACATCTCTAAAAAGATAATACGCCGGACAAGCTGCTGAATACTTCTCTAAAGTTAACTATTCTGTTGTTTTCCATTTCTTCTTGCTAAGCTTGTCATCTCCAATAATTTCCATGGTTTATTGGGAGGACTCATAGTTCTTGTGCTCTATATATTTGTTGATAGCTTTTAATTGATTCTATTAAATGTCTCAATTGCTGAATTGCAAATTTCAAACAACAGCTTATGAGTAAGAAGACTTAGTTTTCCAAGCTTCAGCGTGTTTGTCCTTGAATTGCTTTTCAGTTTAGGTTTGACTATTCATAGCACTACACACTAATCAATTTTCCTCAATGTTCTGAATAATATCCTCGCTGTGTACTGCATATTATTTGACCTTTCTGTTAGATGATTCTGGATGAAACTCTAGCCAAACATCTGCATTCACAAGTACAGAAATTCTTGAAAGCTAGTTAAGAGCTTAAGATCCAATGATATCGCTGCAACTCCTAGTGAGTTATCATTTTTTCTTAGGATCGGTATGTGGTTGAATGACATAGCTTTAAATGTTTATAAGGTGATGTTGGGTGCCCCAAGTTTGTATTAAAAGCTTTTTTTCTGGTTTATTTCCAATGACTATATATGACTAGATTTTGCTTTTTATTTCCCATTTAGGTCTAATCATGCAAGGCAATCTTCTCATGGCAATTGATTTTGTATCTCGCCATCATGATTGTTTCTTTGACATTGCTCTGCTTTCGACTGTAAGTTGTTTTGAAATATGAAAATCCTGATTTGCTTAAATAGAGATTTTCTGTTCTTGCTTAACAAGTGCTTGGCCAAATTGTGTAGAACTCGTTTCGTTCATTAAAAATGTAACTATTCGTTTGGATTTCTTTTTGCAGGTAGCAACAGCTAGTCAATTCTTTATCTCGTACACAATCCGCACATTTGGTGCTCTAACCTTTGCCACCATAATGACCACAAGACAGGTAATAAGAAATAGTTTGAGGGTTTGAAAAGGAATGATACTCACCACTTGGTGGACATGTGCCTAACTGATATTGGTGCTGAATTTCATTTTAGTTGGTGAGCATTTTGCTGTCTTGCTTGTGGTTTGCTCATCCCCTCAGCTGGGAGCAATGCCTAGGAGCTGTAAGCATTAACTTCTTTCTCNGTAGGAGCTGTAAGCATTAACTTATTTCTCTCTTGGCTTTGAAAGCTGAAAACTTTCATTTTTTGTTTTCTTTGGAGAAAAAGTTGTTTCACATTTGATTTAATTTTTTCAGGTTATTGTCTTTGGGGCCCTTTATGCGAGAAGCTTTTTAAATAATAAAAAGAAACCATTAACATTGGACAACACGGAAAATAGAGCTTCAAGTCCACCAAAAGGGAATCCATAACACGTCCTTGAAGTATTCTGACCCTTGCAGTAACTGATTTGAAGTAGCTCTCTGCAACTTAAGCTGCTTTGAGATGAACTAACTGAAGATGGAATAGATAGGAATTTTATTTTGGGTTATTCTGCGCGGAAGGCATGCGGTCCGCGCTTGCGTGCTCATTCATAACAACCTGCGTCTTATGATTTGATATACATTTGAAAGAAACTTGAAGAACCTGCCTCAGATATTCGCTCTTGTTGAATTACACCCTCATAAGTTATAGAAGCTAACTGAAATTAGTCCTTCCAACTCTCTCTGTATTGACCTCAACAACCCCCCCCNGTTAAACAAGTTTTAAGTTGTGACCGCTTTCTGTATATCTGGACGTCTTCAGCTTGTGGCTTTCTGTGGGATAATTTCTTATAGATTATTGACATGTAACTTTTATGCAGGACGTACCAAAACAAATATCTTGAATTAGCTTACGAAAATTGAAGGATATAAGCTTGAATGTTTGAAACTACTGTAGCATGCTAGCAGGGAAAATGACAGAATTTATTATCGTTTTGGGTTCTGAAAAAACTGATATGGGAAAATATTTTGTGGGTGAGATTAATGCGTCTGAACTTAACGAGGAAAAAATGTCTGGTATTTTGTCCGACACTGGAAAATCTATATGTAAATAGTCAAGGTGTTTGATAACATGGAAGGGGGAACCTGTTCTTGATGATTTAAGTACATAGGACAGAACCGCATTGTTGGAGTACTAGGTAGACAATTTTATTCCTTCATCTTAAGGAAGAGAGCATTCCTGCTCTAAGTAAATGGATGAAGAAAGCAAAATTAACGTTCCACGAATTAAAAAAAAGTTAGTGGGTTATCTCTTCTCATCTATTTAATAGTGTTATAGTCAAACTTTTCTATAACAGTATCCCTATATAACAATCATTCACTATAAAAATCAAGTTTTCTTTATAACCGATTTTTTAAGTTATATTTTACCTCTTTATAACAGCTTTTTACCTATAACAACAACAATCGTATTTATAACAGAACACTCTTTGTAAAATTATCCCTCTATAACATCTATATAAAATCTTTAAGTTTACTAATAATAATTCTAAAAACACAATCTTTTCCGTTGAACAAAGTTCTATCTTGCATAAGACATAAGATTTGAATATTTGCACATGATATATTTTTTATTGGATACCTTTTTGCTGAAAATTTGGACACGAATCTTCGCCGATTCATGCATTATATCGGTAGTAAGAGAATGAAATTTATGAAACAACTACAATTATAAAAAAATTTCATCAATTTTGAAAGAGTTTATTTTCCTAGTAGCTTTAAAATGTGTGCCTTACAACTAAAATCTTTGTACGTTTAATTAATGAATTTATTAATAATATATTAGCTTTTTTCAATGTATATCTAGTGAAATATGCATATCTTTCAAGATTTTAAATTTGAAGAATTTTCTTATCTTTATATGTAACATTAAAAATAATAATTAATTTTTGGATAAGTTTTATTTATAACAGCCAAAAAATAATTAAACATAAAATATTGTTACAGGTGTATAACAGTCATTTGTTATAAAAATAAAAAAATCTCGAAACAACGTAGCTGTTATATAAAGGTTTTAGTGTACTTGATATTTGTGGTAATGGAAAGTAGTTAGGAGTCCATCACCAATAGAACTTGGTCTTTGACCAATCCAGCGGTGCTAACATATTGGAAGTATCTAGCAGTGGTAGCATATTGCAAGTAAATGTAGTATAAGTTTCAGCAACGTGTTAGTTTTCCCCTAGGTACTTCAATTTAGCATGAATAATGCCCCCTTGAGCATTTTTAACAATAAAAGCGTTCCCCTTGGACTAAGATTTCCCCTTGAAGTACCATTTATTTTCCATTTTTGCCACCATTTACATGTTTCTGTTATTATCCAGTCTTCTAGCCTTGGAAGGATTAGTTTGATTTACAACCGTTAATTGAAAATTCAATTAGTTATAGTGTCAGAATTAATTAAAATTTGGCCATTTTTCATGCAAAAATAAATTCTGGACAAAAATGTCCTTAGTTAAAATCCGAAAAATTTCCAGCATAATATGTTAGAGTTCGAATTCTTTACATATGAAATTTCAGCGTAACGTGCTGGAATTCATAAGGTGTTGGAATTCCAACATAATATGCTGGAGTCTTATACGCAGTAATTTCATAATCCAACATATTATGCTGAATTTTTCTGTATTTCAGCTAAGGGTATTCTTGTCCAAATTTCGTCTCCATATTAAATAACAGATATTTTTTAATTATTTATAAATAGTGGCTATATTTTAATTACTAGTCTGAAAACTGGGAAGCCCACGCTATGTTGACTTTAAAACGTCTCATTAAGGTCTAAGTATTGCTTAGTGCATAGCGGGAGCTTAGTCCACCTAGCTGTTCTTTTTAAGGTCTAAATATTGCTCACTTCTCAGCGCAAGTATACTCAATATCTTTATTTTACCGATGTGAAATTTACCTAAGTATTGATAGTTTCATCCACATAACACCCCCTCCTGGTCGTCTAAGAAGAATTAAGCTAAATAATCGCCTACCTAACTACTTAAATTAAAAATATTCGGAGGATGATATATATTATTGTGTATACTCAGTATATAATCTATATATACTTGCTAAAAAAATCAGTGAATACATCTAGTTACTTGTATAAAGATCACCGGAGTTAGAGGTAATCGTACACTAGTCGATGGGATTGAACAGTAAAAAATTTCACGAGGAGCACTATTTGGTCGCCCATAATTAATTTGTACCAACTTTAAAAAAAAAATTATCTGACACCTAGTAAGATAACTTCAGACAAGCTGCTTCTTCTCTACTCCTCCTCCTCCTATTAGTTGCTGTAAATATAGAGGTGACAGTGAATTCATATGGTATTTGTGAATAGGTTTTTAGGTGTTTTAATGGTAGTAAGTTGCTATGTCACTTCTTATTTTGCTAATGCTTTGCGTTTCTTCTCCTTCTTTTTCTTAGTTACAAAATGGATTTGTTATATTTATTATTATTTTGATAAATTGATGATGAGATTTTGATCATGCCTAACTATGCCTTATAAAAATGACTAAGCGGTCGTTGTAAATATAATCCGGTTTACAAGTCCGGAGTCGAATCCCACAGAAAACTAAGGCTTAGCCACAGTTGTTCAATATCGCTAAGAAACACAAGTCCAAATAATTTCCTAATTATAAAGATTATAAAGTTTATTTTTATCTAATTAACTAACAAATACTAGAAAGCAGTAAAACTATCAATTAACAAGGATAAGGATTGGAGACAAGATTACGGAGATCAAGAGTTATGATTTCCCCTATTGTCGGAATCCTTTCCGTTACGTTTCTATAAATTTGCCTAAGTCTTCTCTACTGATCATGAGCACTCTGACTGTCGTAGCTCTCTCTTTAGTAATTATCACAATTTACTAGACATATCTCCCGAATTACGCTAGCTGGCATTAAGTACGACTCACTCGGATCGCACCAAGGTTTCGTTATCCCTAATCCCACATTTAAACCCTCCGTATTGATCCCTCATATACGTTAGGAGTGATGTTGTTCAACAACTACCTAAATATGCATTCTCTCCCGAGTAATACACACTAAATAGGCACAATCGATTAAGAGCTCTTCAACCAACCACAATAATAACGCAGTTGAACAAATAGAGAAAATACTACGGCAAAACTATATTAATGTAACAAGAAAATCATCCTTCAAGAGGTTCCATCATAACCCTAGATAACAAATTAATTAGCTATTCATAATAGTATGCGAAACTACAATACTAGAATTCATAACCAATTATGAATGTAGGAAGAAGGAAGTGAGAAACTCGTAGAAGAATCCTCCGCCTTGCTCCTAGTGTATTCTTGCCTCCTTAGGTTGAATCTCCGGTCTAATGTCGGTCTCTCCTAAAAAATGGCATTTTTAGGTCTATTTATATGTGTAGGAAAAGATCTAAACATGTAGGCCAAGTCCTAGTCAAACCATGAGACAAAATAAGCCTTCAAAACTCGAACTGGATCTCGCTCTAGGTCTGGCGTCGCTAGCCTCAGCCTAGCTTTTGCCTTGCAGTACTAGCCTAATGCCAACCTCAGCCTGGCCTTTGGCTGGCCTCGCCAGGTCTCTCCTTTTCACTGTTCTCGAGTCCACTTTCAACGTTTAAGTATCCTTTTTTCTCTACTTTCATCTCCAATTCACCTACACATAAAATAAACTCCATTACGCGCAAATAAAGTGTAATTTATTATTAAAGCATATAAAATGCAAGACAAATAATGTACGAAACAATGGAATTATAGCCACACATCAATAAGACATACTTAAACATTGCTCGTCCTCGATCAATCAAATTACACTTATAGATACAACCTTGAGCACTATTGAGATACACCACACCAATGACCATAGTTTATCACACCAATTAAACTCTAGCATATGCAATCATATACACTTTCCTTTTCTTATGCCATACTTCACGAATATTCACAACAAAGGCAACATGCTCCTAACAATCCTGGCCTTAAAAACCAACTCAATGTCACAATGCACTCATGGCTTGAACACCCAACATCATAGAGAGGAGTCTAATAATGTTACTTATCCCTCGTGAAAACCATGTGCCCTCACCACAAGAATAAGAGAGTAAGTTGAATCCACATATTCAAATCAAATGCTTAAATATATTTTAAGGACTCATATATATATCAAAGAATATCACTCACTCTCACAAAAGGAGTCACATGCATGCAATTGATACTATAGGCTTGCCCTTAATGCAAAATCTCTACTAATGTAAGCTCGCTCGATCTAAGGTCAATTAGGACTTTTTAATGGTTGTAATGTGGGGTAAGGGACGGGAAGGATATATTTAGGAATAGTGGCTAACCCTCCTAAGCACTTTAACACATCATATAATAATCTTTAAGCGCAAATTCTTCAATCCCCTTCAATTTCACAAACAAAATCATCCCTAACAACAAACCCTTATTTTTTAAGCACTACTTTAATTCATACCCACTAGCACGAACAAGACAACAATTTATTAATCTCTATTTTTCTTTTTCTTTTTTTTCCAGATTTTTCTCTTTTTTTTCTTTGGTGTTTTCGCTAGTGATGTATTACTTTACAGAACAAGTGCACATTTCTTCCTTTCATTGGTTCCACTCAAAAGCCACCCCACACTTAGTTTCTTCTTACTTCTTTTAGCGCTTATTTCACAATTAACGTGTTTTAAGAGGTAAAAGG